TGCTGCCGAATGCTGTTGTCTTCCTGGGGTGTAGTAACTCGGCAACGGGGTCTCCTGTCTATCGACGTGTACCTGTAGACCGTATATGGTGGCACAAATTTCCGACCATAAATACTATGACTTATATTGATAATATTATGCGTATGTCATTATCATTCATAAAATATATTTTGCCATCATACACACCCAGTTGTGTCAAGTTTCCAGTTTTCTCCCGTCTCTGTATCCACTTTGCCACATTTTCACTCCCGATGGAAAAAACAAACAAAACCTCGGCTTACCCTTGACTGGTTGTCTACAGAACATAATTTTCACTGTGAATAGTTGACGAGTTGTTGAAAAACAACAACATATTTATATCCTTTGTTGAATCGAATACCCTAAACGTTATTTGGACAGTCGTTAACACTACAGTTAGGGTGATTATTGAATAATATAAATTGCCGACCAACACTTCGGCCATAGAGAAGGGAGAGGTTCTAATGCCACGAGAGGATTACCCCCCCCCCACCAAGTCTTACCTTGATTTTGCTAGACACATTTTCAAATAAGAATAGTTTCTTTATAAATGCCTTTTCATACGTTATCATACAACTTATTTTATGGATGTTATATATTCATTATGCAAATTTCAATATTTCCCTATAACTGAGAGCGTGCGAAAGCAACTCAATATATAATTAAGAGGCGGGAACGGTCACATTAAAATATGACCTTCAAACGGATATTAAACTTTATATTAGTTGATAAGATAAGAAATAACTAATTTTGGTTTCCTATGAATGTGAGCTTAGAAATGACACAGGTAATCTTCCTCATTCTACTCACAATTTTAATGACGCCCCGGAATTTTAGACAATGTCCTTAGCCTGGCATTGATGCCATTTTTCCACTTTACTATTTAACCATATTTGACTTACACGATGCTAATACATCGTCTCTTATCAATACCTTCGTTCTATCTAATTTATCAGATGATATAACATTGAATTCTACCATACAAGAAACTCATACATATTTAATTTCTCCCCCATATAACGGCACACATAAAGATTGTGACTACGCTGACTGAAACAGTTGGGAGTGGAAAAGATTGTACAATCGGCTTATTAAATCCTCGACCCGTGACACCAGAGAAGCTATAAATCATACGATGAAATTAAATATTTAAACATACTGTTAGCAAACAACATGCAAATCTTAGCGGTCGTCGTTGTGGTGAGTCGGCAACTGGTGACGCGTTCCTGTCTTGTAAGATGCATGCCTGCATGATGCCAAATTGTTTGAACAATAATTTCGGAGTCTCATTGAAAATTCGATTTAAACCATATATATCACAGCCATTAATATAAGTAAATGTAAAGAAAATAATAATTGTTTTTGCCTAACATGTACTATGTATGGTATGTAATACCCTCCCCCAAAGATGTATCGTTAGACATGGAGTCGATATGATTCGAGACCTTTCGAGCAATGTTACTCGACCTGTTTCTGAACGGATGAGTATATATGTTTTCGAATGATGTTAAGCCTCCGAGGTTTCAGATCATATATTACATGCCTTGGAGTGGATGCCGATTTTACATCGAATAAAGCGAGGAATTATCGGGCAGACATCGCAAGATGTGGAAGGTGCTATCATTGCTCTTCACAACGAGATTATACAATAACGCTGAGGTAGCACGTCGACCTGGTGTGAACGAATCCTCAGTATAAAGATGGATTAGGCGCCATGAAATTAGTGATACACTGAAACTTAAAACCACAAATATTTTACTATAAGTGGAGGGGGTTCTATTGCCTGTAAGTCCCTTCATTTGAAACCATATTTCATTGTTAAGCCAATTCAATTTACATATCAGTAAAATAGCAGATCCCATGCAGACCGATATATAATTTTATAATCATATATTGTATATTGTTATTGCTGTTCACTCTTATATCAAATACTATTTACTTAGTCACTCTTCATAAATCAGACATAATGTGAACAACCGGAGTAGGCATGTTGCCAAACTCAGTATGGATGAAACTTCTTTAGTACAATGACGTAATGGTGAGATGACGTTTTTGAAGTTTGTCTTAGTATCAGTTATGATGTTCCGAAATATTTGCATTAAATATATATTTCAATCAGTGACATGTATAAATATGCTTTAATTCTACCTAGTATGATACAAACATTAAAATTGCTTCATGGATTTCTTGTTATAATGAAGTATTTAATATGCCATACAAGTACGACCCCCTCCCCCAATCCTACCTCCATCTCTAGCTGTTGCTGATATAGCAAGTAGGTGTACCAACTTAACATGATGCACTGGGGAAAATCTAACGATATATTTTGGGGGGACTGTACACTTAATTATTTATTAATTGCTAAATGGTGGCAACACTACCTGCCTGAAATCTGTCTAGAAGTTAGAAGTGATTACATATTTTGTTCTCTGTTTTAACTACTAGGAAATTATAAATAGACACATGTCTGTCCCGGGGATGGAGTTGTGAGAGACTCATGACCCTACTGTGTCCCCTAGAGAGTGTTGTGAGAGACTCATGACCCTACTGTGTCCCCTAGAGAGTGTTGTGAGAGACTCATGACCCTACTGTGTCCCCTAGAGAGTGTTGTGAGAGACTCATGACCCTACTGTGTCCCCTAGAGAGTGTTGTGAGAGACTCATGACCCTACTGTGTCCCCTAGAGAGTGTTGTGAGAGACTCATGACCCTACTGTGTCCCCTAGAGAGTGTTGTGAGAGACTCATGACCCTACTGTGTCCCCTAGAGAGTGTTGTGAGAGACTCATGACCCTACTGTGTCCCCTAGAGTGAGAGACTCATGACCCTACTGTGTCCCCTAGAGTGTTGTGAGAGAGACTCGCAGCCCTACTGTGTCCCTAGAGTGTTGTGAGGAGCTCATGACCCTACTGTCCCCTAGAGAGAGTGTTGCTTGAGAGACTCATGACCCTACTGTGTCCCCCTAGAGAGTGTTGCCAGAGACTCTCATGACCCTGTGTCCCCTAGAGAGTGTTGTGAAGACTCTTGACCCTACATGTGCCCTAGAGAGAGTGTTGTGAGAGACTCATGACCCTACTGTGTCCCCTAGAGAGTGTTGTGAGACTCATGACCCTACTGTGTCCCTAGAGAGTGTTGTGAGAGACTCACTGACCCTACTGTGTCCCCTAGAGAGAGTGTTGGCCGAAGACTCATGACCTACTGTGTCCCCTAGAGAGTGTTGTGAAGACTCATGACTTCTGTGTCCCCTAGAGAGAGTGTTGGCCAGAGACTCATGACCTACTGTGTCCCCTAGAAGTGTTGTGAGACTCATGACCTACTGTGTCCCCCTAGAGAGTGTTGTGAGAGACTCATGACCCTACTGTGTCCCCCCTAGAGAGTGTTGTGAGGGCTACATGACCCTACTGTGTCCCCTAGAGAGTGTTTGTGAGAGACTCACTGACCCTACTGTGTCCCCTAGAGAGTGTTGTGAGAGACTCATGACCCTACTGTGTCCCCTAGAGTGTTGTGAGAGACTCATGACCCTACTGTGTCCCCTAGAGAGTGTTGTGAGAGACTCATGACCCTACTGTGTCCCCTAGAGAGTGTTGTGAGAGACTCATGACCCTACTGTGTCCCCTAGAGAGTGTTGTGAGAGACTCATGACCCTACTGTGTCCCCTAGAGAGTGTTGTGAGAGACTCATGACCCTACTGTGTCCCCTAGAGAGTGTTGTGAGAGACTCATGACCCTACTGTGTCCCCTAGAGAGAGTGTTGTGAGAGACTCATGACCCTACTGTGTCCCCTAGAGAGTGTTGTGAGAGACTCACCTTGTCCCTGTGTCCCCTAGGGGGTGTTGTGAGACTCGCGGCCCCTACTGTGTGTCCCCTAGAGAGTGTTGTGAGAGACTCATGACCTACCCATGTCCCTAGAGAGTGTTGTGAAGACTCATGACCCTACTGTGTCCCCTAGAGAGTGTTGAGGAGCTCTATGACCCCTACTGGCTGTGCCCCCTCGAGAGTGTTGTGAAGACTCATGACCCTACTGCGTAGCCCCTAGAGTGTGTGAGACTCATGACCCTACTGTTAATGTCCCCTAGAGAGAGTGTTGTGAAGACTCTTGACCCTACTGTGTCCCCTAGAGAGGTGTGTTGTAGAGACTCTGCTGACCTACTGTGTCCCTAGAGAGTGTTGTGAGACTCACTTGTCCCTACATGTCCCCCTAAGTGTTGTAGAGAGAGACTCACCAGCCCTACTGTGTCCCTAGAGAGTGTTGTGTGAGAGACTCATGACCCTACTGTGTCCCTAGAGAGTGTTGTGAGAGACTCATGACTACTGTGTCCCCTAGAAGTGTTTGTGAGAGACTCATGACCCTACTGTGTCCCCCTAGAGAGTGTTGTGAGAGACTCATGACCCTACTGTGTCCCCTAGAGAGTGTTGTGAGAGACTCATGACCCTACTGTGTCCCCTAGAAGTGTTGTGAGGCTCATGACCCTACTGTGTCCCTAGAAGAGTGTTGTGAGAGACTCCTTGTGACCTACTGTGCCCCCTCAGTGTTGTGAGACTCATGACCCTGTGTCCCCTAGAGTGTTGTGTGGGGCTCATGACCCTACTGTGTCCCCTAGAGAGAGTGTTGTGAGAGAGACTCACCAGCCCTGTGTCCCCTAGAGAGTGTTGTGAGAGAGACTCATGACCCTACTGTGTCCCCTAGAGAGTGTTGTGAGAGACTCATGACCCTACTGTGTCCCCTAGAGAGAGTGTTGTGAGAGACTCATGACCCTACTGTGCCCCCTCGAGAGAGTGTTGTGAGAGACTCATGACCCTACTGTGTCCCCTAGAGAGAGTGTTGTGTGAGACTCATGACCCTACTGTGTCCCCTAGAGAGAGTGTTGTGTGAGACTCATGACCTTACTGTGTCCCCTAGAGAGAGTGTTGTGAGATACTCATGACCCTACTGTGTCCCCTAGAGAGTGTTGTGAGATACTCATGACCCTACTGTGTCACCCACAGGTCAGACGGAGTACGGTGAGGCAGCACTGAAGTGGGCCATCGACTACTTCCTTAAGGCTTACGCTGACCAAAATGAAATTTACGGTCAGGTCAGTTGTTTCTTTTTTGTAATGTACAGGAGCCTTTATTCTATGAATGAATGAGAAATAACTTTCAGCACACAACTTAATGAAGGTTCTATTGTGGGTCATAATAAAACTTCATTCTTCAGAGTGAGTTGATCAGGCTCTTTTAGTTTCTTTGTAATCGATTTGGGTGTAGTAAGTGTCATCTAGATTAGTTAAGGGAAGATCAAATGGGTTATTTGTCTTACGCATCAGTGTACAAAATATTGTGACAACTTCTCATTTATGGAGGAGAAATATTTAACAAAATATTAATTTTAATTATATAAAGGTCCAGCTATTTTTTTGACGAATTAAAGTGAGCATTTATTTTTAATCTAAAGAATTATGAAAATCAAAATAAGGACTAGGACATACTCAACGCTTACATAAAATTAATGTCTCAGATGAACTGACGACAGTGTATTGAAATGTACGAGTATTCTGTGTGCATCAACGATGATTTACATTAAATTATTTCAAGATAAGAAGACGTAATACAACTGCAGCAGATTTAAACATGACTAAATTTGTTCGGACAACGACATAAAGGAACAAATATGATTTGAGCTTAACAACGGTTACTTGATGTGTTTTGTCATACAGTATAATAAAAAAAATGATAAAAAACATTAGCAGGACAACTTTAACCAAGAAGAATGAAAGAGCAAATTAGATGAACAACAATGACTGTTGACAAATTAACACTTAATACTTAGTAACAGTTACAGATTAAGATGTTTATAGCTTTATGATATTCCCCAATTCATGAACTGGGGAATCAATTTGCCCAGTTCGTGAAATGCGCTACTAACCTAACCTAACCTAGCCTAACCTAACCTAACCTAACCTAACCTAGGCAAAATTAGGTTACGTTAGGAACTCATTTCACGAACTGGGCAAAATGACTGCCTAGTTCATTATTGGACAATTTCACAAACGAGGCGTATCATATACACAGGTGGGCCTCAGCGACCTTGATCATGCCTACTGGGGACGACCTGAGGAGATGACCATGGAGAGACCTTCATATAAAATTGATGAAGCTCACCCAGGTTAGTAAGTCGAAGAGCTGAGGAGTTGTGTCGGTGATGTTCTGTGTTGACTGTCACTGAGAACTGTTTTGTGAAGCATTTTAATCTCACGCTTATATGTGACAAATAAAGGATTTAAATGTGAAAATAAGTCCCGATAGAAATGTAAAACATCCACACTAGACATTGTACATAACTGAGCAATTCGTGTCTCCCCCCTACAGGAACTGAGTTGGCCGCTGAGACAGCCGCTGCCCTCGCTGCAGCATCCATGGTCTTCTGGGTAATTAATGATTATCCTTTTGTTTCATCTCAAATGTCTAATTCTCGCCGTGTTCCATCTGCACTGTCTCACTTTTTGTTACCTTCGTATTGTACCCAATTCTTCTGCTCTTTCACCTGCAATATGTGATGTTCTTCTTCACAGCTGTACTGACTGATGTTCATAACGGTTCACATTTAAGTACTGATGCTCCCACCGAGAAACACGAATATGTAATATATATTCAACAGTAGATTTACTAAGTAAAAATAAACCAAATTTTCAGTGGTGTGACATAACAACATACGAATGGAGGAAACTGCAGCGGGCCTATTGGCCCATACTGGGCAGTCCCATATACACCCAACCCCTATTGCTCATATATCCATCCAACCTATGTTTGAAGCTATCCAGCGTATTCGAGTTAATAATGATATTTGGTAACTTGTTCCAGTCGTCCACTACTCTATTTTCAAACCAATGTTTACCTATTTCGCGCCTAAATCTAAATTTGTCTAATTTAAAACCATTGTTACGAGTTCGCTCCTGGTTGGATAGTTTGAGTACCTTTGTAATGTCCCCTTTGTTAGCCCTGACTTTCATTTATACACCTCGGTCATGTCGCCCCTCACTCTACGTCTCTCGAGGGAGTGCAAATTAAGATGTTTTAACCTGTCTCTGTACTCAAGGTTCCTAATGCCTGGTATTAGTCTTGTCATTCTCCTCTGAATTCTTTCCAAGGATTCTATATCCATTCTGTAATACGGTGACCAGAATTGAACTGCGTAATCCAAGTGAGGTCTCACAAGCGCAAGATATAGTTATAAGATGACCTCGCTAGTCTTGTAACTAACACTCCTTTGTATGAACCCAAGTACTTTATTAGCCTTGTTTCGAGCAAATACACATTGTTTACTTGGCTTAAGATTCCTATTTATCATTACTCCTAAATTTCATGGGCAGTCGGATTTCTGAATAACATCGTTGTTCATCTGGTATTTGGTTTCCCTGTTTACATCTCCTATACTCAATACTTTACATTTGTTCACATTGAAATTTATGTGCCATTTTTCAGACCATTCGAAAAATTTGTTTAGATCTTCCTATAGTTTTGCCGAGTCCTCGTCAGATTGAATTACACGTCCTATTTTAGTGTCATCAGCAAATTTACTTATGTTGCTGTCTACGCCGATATCTATGTCGTTTATGTATATAATAAATAATAATGGTCCAAGTATTTAGCCTTGGGTAACTACACTAGTGACGTTGCTCCAATGGGATTTAGTGCCGTTAATGCTCACTTGCTGTTTCCTATCCTGTAACCACGCCTTAAATCATTTTAGAATATCACCTTTAATGCCATGAGCCTCCACTTTTCTTATTAGTCTTTCGTGGGGGACTCTGTCGAAGGCTTTGCTAAAGTCGAGATATACCACATCATAATTGTGCCCCTCGTCCACTGATTCGAAAACTAATGAAAAGAATGTTAATAGATTAGTTAGACATGAACGCCCGCTTGTGAAGCCATGCTGGGAATCATTGATCAATCTGTGCTTTTCCAGGTGATTTAGAATAGAGTTTGAAATGATTCCTTCCAGTAATTTGCCTACAATTGATGTTAGACTGATTGGACGATAGTTAGAGGATAGTAGTCTATCTCCCTTCTTGAAAATCGGTATTACCTTCGCTATCTTCCATGATTCTGGCACTGAAGGTTCCAAGTGTTCCCTGAAGAAGGCAGTGATGGGTAGGGAAACACCGGGTAACACTGAAGTCAATTTATTAACGGATAGGAGAAATACAAGTGGTGACTAGCGTGTGCCTTGCACGAGGCACGGAGTCAGACTGAGACTGCCTTGCCATATGGCAGCCTCGGGGCAATGTTGCCACATAACACGTGCAGTTTTGCCACGTAATTATATACATAGATGCTACTCGGCACAGTAGCTTCTATACAAGTTTGCTACTCGGCACAGTAGCTTAGATACATAACCTACAGGCACTAAACCTTTTTTAAGGACATGTTAAAGAACTTTGCTAAGGGCATACTAAGCTCTTCCTTACATTCCTTTAATACTCTGGCAAATATCTCATCGGGACCTGGTGACTTATTAAGCTTTAGTTTGTGTATTTGCTGACTAACATCGTTACTAGTCATTACTATCTCGCTTAATTTATATTCTTCACTATCTCTGTATAGAGTCGGAGCCTCGGGTATCATGTTTAAATTTTTGGTTGTGAAAACTGTTGAAAAATATTTATTCAGATTATTACTCATTTCTCAGTCGTTATCAGTTAGCTCGCCGATATCTGACTGTATTGGTCCAATCTTTTCTCGTGTTTTAGTTCGATATATTTGATAGAATCCCTTGCGGTTTGACTGTGCCTCACTTGCCATCTTCAGCACATTTTTCCTCTTGGCTTTTCGTATCTCGGTCTTAACCCTACCGGCCAATACCTTATAGTAATCTCAGAAGTAAACTTCACCACGATTTGTTCTCCTATCTATAGCCTTCTTTTGTCCAATAATGTTCTTTAAATAATTATTTATCCATTTAGGGTCATTGTTGTTTGATCTGAGTTTTTTGTATGGTATGTTCTGCCTTTGTGCATTAAGTAGCTCATTATTTAAATTGTCGTGGAACTCAGCAACCTTAGATCTCGTTATCAGGTCAATCTCAGCCATCAGGTCTCCAGGTAGGGTGAGGTCGCCTTCTGTGGGTACATTGAGTGAGGTCACCTCATGTGAGGTCATGTTGTTCACCCCCCAAGCGTAATACCCCCTCCCTCAGCTGCCTCTTCAAACTATCAAAGTTTGCTTGTCTGAAATCTGGGACTTGAGTGGAATTTTCCTTGCGGCTGTCCTAAAATTCTAACTGGAATCTAATTTCTTTGTGATTGCTGTTTGCAAGTTCGTTCCCTACCTCGACTTTACTAATGAGGTTTTCTCTGTTTGACAGAACTAAATCGAATATATGATTACCCCGGGTGGGTTCGGTTAAATGTTAACTTAGGAAACAGTCCTGGATCATTTCAAGAAAATCCTTTGATTCTGAGTTACCTGTAAGGTCAATCCAATCTATTTGGCTAAAGTTAAAGGCGCCTACTATACAGATTTTGCTATGTATGAAAGCCCTGCGCATTTCGTCCCAAATAAGTCGATCTTTAACTCTATCAAGATTAGGAGGTCTATATATTACTCCTGTGATTAATTTTTCCCTACCATCGATTAATTCTATCCAAATTGTTTCTGTATTCCGCTCAGTTTTGATTTCCTTATTTATTTCACACTTCAGATTATCCCTGACATAGATTGCTACTCAGCCTCCTTTCCTAATCTGCATATAGGTATGGAATAATTTGTAACCTGCAATTTGGTATTCGACAGGTAACTCACATTAGTCTTGGCTTATCCATGTTTCGGTGAATGCTATTTTATCGATTTTTTCGGTACATACCAAGGCCCTAATATCATCCATTTTGTTTCTCATACTTCTACTGTTTGCAAAGTAGATATTTAAGTTAGTCGAGTTCTGAGTACCATTACAATAATAATAAACAATAATTAGTAACTAAAATACACAAGATCAAGTTTTTTTTGGGGGGACGAATTATAGCACCACTCCGAGTATTTACCGCGACTTGGGAGGATAGATAGTAAATGAGGAGTGTAATCAGAGATATGGTCGTGCCCCTGGCTATGGTTCTTAATCCCTAAAAGCTACAAAGATAGCTCTCCCACTAGTTTCATTTTGTCAGCAGGTGAGCCATTTAATTATGATATGTGGAAATGCCTTGTTCATTTGTTAGCAACCTTCACCACCAACCAGTCCAAGGTTAGACACTGCACCAATTTCGTGAAATATTCATGTGCTTAGGCTTTTTGTAATTGTGTGCAGTCTGTTTAGGATAACTGATAAAGTAAAGAAATTCAATAAATCTTAGTTTTATGACCATTTCTACTTGGCAGCCGATGACTGCTTATGTCTTCAACAGATACATAGCTACCGTAGCCATGGGTAGTCCTCTGAGATCTACACTAGCCAACGCACTTCTCTCTGTCCACAAGATTACATGGCTACAAGCCTACTTATATGCATTTACCACTGCCCCATAATTTTTTTAGTGAAGTCCAATTTTTAACATTTAAATCTTCTCAACAAATTCCTTTAGTCTTAGATAATTTCAATTCCGAACATAATAATAGTAAAATTCACCCCAACGGGACACACACAGCAATTTTTTGACATTCTGAGAGAAGAATAGAAGAATCAAACACTGCCTTCATTACCCCCATATAAAGAAACCTGCCTACAGTCTCAACAACAGACTCAGCTCAGCTATTCTAAACAGTCAAAAAGACCTAATTTACACCTTAGTCCCTTGGGCACTTCATATCTATTCCACTTACACCACGAACACAAATAATTGCAAATATATGACAAAACTTCAATGTCCAATGGTTATCCTAAATTATTCAGTAACACAGTAGTAATTATGTGTATATTTAAAGTTACAGAGAACAGGTGATTCATAAAATATACAGGTAACTTCAAGGAAATATTAATTTGAATGACCCCCAAAATCTTACGAAGTTATTCAAGTTATTTGAAATGTCGTGTTTTTTCAAGTTATATTTATTTTCCCAAATTTTATCTCCCCAGAAACACAATCCGCCCTACGCCGCCAACCTTCTGGACGTGGCCATGCATCTCTATCACCTCGCTGACTTACACCGTCTGGACTACGACATTTCCATCCCAGACGCACAAAACTCCTACCAGTATGTATTGTGTATCGTGGTGAATATGTGTCAGGTGTATTGTATACATATGAGTCATGTGTTATATATTGTGGTGTATATGTGTCATGTATTGTGTATTGTGGTGAATATGTATCATATCTCGGGTGGGTGCATTGTATTACAACTTTTATATAGTCTGCTGCTAGTATCCGATATATATATATATATGTATATATATATATATATATATATATATATATATATATATATATATATATATATATATATATATATATATATATATATATATTAATATATATATATATATATATATATATATATATATATATATATATATATATATATATATATATATATATATATATATATATATATATTGATAAATCACACAACGAGCACCTTAGCTTTCGTCTTTATTCAAGACATCTTCAGTTGCCTCTGAAGATGTCTTGAATAAGAGACGAAAGCTAAGGTGCTCCATTGTTTCCCTTTTCCCTGTGATTTTATCAAGATTTATCTTATCCACGTTTTCATTGTGGATCTACATGAAATATATATATATATATATATATATATATATATATATATATATATATTTCATTAGCCCAATAGCACGCGGACTTCTACATACAATCAACACCTCAACCCGCCAGGATTCGAACCCACGGCCCACTAGCCCATGACTGTGACCGGGGAATGCTACCGCTGGACCACCAGGATACTAAAAGCAGTCCTAGACTCTGTTATATTTCACACAAAGCCTGTTCAACGAGCTTATGGCGCCGTGAACCTCTAATGGGGACTACCCGTATCACGTAGGTGGTCAGAGTAACGTTTTACCAAATCCGCTTCGAAACACGAGGATCCATATATATTTCATTAGCCCAATAGCACACGGACTTCTACATACAATCAACACCTCAACCCGCTAGGATTCGAACCCACGGCCCACTAGCCCATGACTGTGACCGGGGAATGCTAACCGCTGGACCACCAGGATACTAAAAGCAGCTTAGACTTTGTTATATTTCACACAAAGCCTGTTCAACGAGCTTATGGCGCCGTGAACCTCTAATGGGGACTACCCGTATCACGTAGGTGGTCAGAGTAAAGTTTTACCAAATCCTGCTTCAAAACACGAGGATCCATATGTATTTCATTAGCCCAATAGAGGTTCACGGCGCCATAAGCTCGTTGAACAGGCTTTGTGTGAAATATAACAAAGTCTAGGACTGCTTTTAGTATCCTGGTGGTCCAGCGGTTAGTGTTCCCCGGTCACAGTCATGGGCTAGTGGGCTGTGGGTTCGAATCCTGGCGGGTTGAGGTGTTGATTATATATATATATATATATATATATATATATTGATAAAATCACAAGGGGGAAAAGGGAAAAAACGGTGCTCAGTTGTTTCCCTTTTCCCAGTGTGATTTTATCAAGATTCAAGATTTATCTTATCCACGTTTTCATTGTGGAGCTACATAAAATATATATATATATATATATATATATATATATATATATATATATATATATATATATATATATATATATATATATATATATATATATATATATATATATATATATATATATATATATATGCAAGTAAATTACTTGTGGTTATCAGAATTTCCGCTAGTTGCTTTATATTTTCCCGTATACCGCGCTGCTTCACCTATTTTGCTTTTATAGTCGTCACATTTCAAGTCGAAAGTTGTGTATCATTACGGTTAATAATAATCATTGTTTTCTTTTTTTAGTCTTCCAAGCCTTTTCACGCTTAATGTAGGATGCCTGGAAAAAGACTAATAGTTATAATATATTTTTCCTTCATTCGTTGCTATTTATTAATCTTAAGGCTGTAAAATACGCGTAGGCTACCGTAATAGTGCGCCGTTTCCTTAGCGAGTGCATAGATCAGGTTTGCTCATTAGCGCAAAAAAGGGCTGGATTAATCATTAAGCAAAATAAGCACGTGCTTAGGGCACCAAAAGAAGGGGGCACCACAGGTTTTTCTTTTGAAGGTATTATGCCTTGTAGTGACCAGATCATATTTGCCATAAAACCTAATAGGCTAGTGTAAAACCGCCGTATAAAATTGGTGAAAAATATTTATCCCATTTTGTTCGTTAACTTTGTTTTGTAAGGGTTTTAAACCAAGAAAACTGTGCTCCTTTTTTTTTTAAGGACACGTTGCCCAATGGAAAACGGCTTTATTTTATACACGTTCAAGAACGTTCCTGAACGTCTGAAATTGTCTAAGTTCGTTCCCTCGCTTCTCAGCCCTCACTCAGGCTCTTGCAGTATCAACGAAATGTGTCTATTTTAACGTGTGGTATGAGGTGGATTGTGTGAAGTAACAAGTAAGTTTCTGAATTTCTCATTAATTAAATTACTTTATATTTACAAAATAAAGAGGTAGATATTTTAACTATATAAATATATTGTGTTACTAAATTAAGAGCAGTAACTCTAGGCCTAGTTGTTATAATAAATAAGGTTAAATCAAAACTGTCCAATTTAAGTGATTTTTATAATTATCAAATGTTGAAAAACTTCAACTCTATGTTTTTATTTCTTAATTGTCTTTAACTGTATTTGTTCTGGTTCTAGTCTAACATCAGTGATGAGAAAATTGTAGGATCTGGCTTGTGGGGTGGCCTGGAAGAAACCTGAATTTTTTATCTTATATTTCAACATGAGTATTCATTGAGTCTTAATCATGGTCTTAATATCTTGTCAGTTAAGCAATGGGAGGGCCGAGGGGGCACCATTGTTGGGCTGTGCTTAGGGCATCAATTGGCCTTAATCCGGCCCTGGCACAAAATCACCCATCAGCAGCAAGTTCTTCTTTACAAATTTAATCAATCCAATGCTCCTTTATATATATATATATATATATATATATATATATATATATATATATATATATATATATATATATATATATATATATATATATATATATGCTGATAACCACAAGGAAAAAGGAAACACGAAGTTCCCAAGCGCTTTCGTGTAATTCACATCTTCAGGGTGAGTACAGACTAAGGAGAAGTACATAGCAATGTATATATATACAGAGGAGGGTGAGATCAAGTCCACAATGGTCAGGTATTAGGTAATGACCCTACTAATCTTCAAAAAGCAACGTAGCAGGTCAGAGGGTAAGATGACCCAACCTTCTCACCTGGTTACAAATCTTCTTAATTACGAAATTATCCAGTTTGTACATACCTTTACTCAAATTCATGTTGACGGATTCGGTATGTTTAATGAGACTGGATTCTATAATGTTCCTACTGACAATTGAATTACAAGGTAATATTGAGGAGGCATTATCCCAGTCAATGCAATGCTTATTATCCCTCAAATGAACAAACAGAGCATTGGATTCCTGGCCTGGCCTAACACTATATTTATGTTGTTTAAGTCTAGTTACAAGATCTTTACCTGTCTAGCCTAAGTAAAACATATTACATTTCTTGCAAGGAACCTTATAAATGCAGCCACCTGTATTTTTTGGGGAGTTCTTGATTAACATTTGTTTAACAGTGCATGAGTTTTTAAATGGCACATTGACGTTCCAGGTTTTTAGTTGTGGCATTTAAAAACTCCCTGGTGCACCGCTTTATTACAACTCAGTTCGAGATCTGAACAACACAGATACGGAGCTCCGGAGAACCAAACCATGAGCCCAAGCTATGGGCCATTCAATGTATCCATGATCCATGACTCGAGGTACGGAACCGGAACGTTGAGTCAGGAGATCGAGTAACGGGGTTGGAGCAGTGGTCGTGCAGCAGGGCAGGGCATTCCGGGACTGACGAGGGTGTGGAACTGGTGGTCGCTGGTCGGGTGATCCGGTTGTGGTTGATAGCAAATTGTGTTACTCTGACTCAGAATGTAATGCAAGTTTGTAATGTTTATGTATATTTCTATGTGGTAGGAATAGGGTGATTGTTAGAGTATTGTTTTATATTTATATAATTGTTGTATGAGTGTGGCAATTGCTAATGTTTGATTATTGCTGGTTGTTGGTGTTTCTTGTCAATATATTGTGCATTCTGTTAGGTGTTCTGGGTAATAAGTTCTATATACAGGAGAGAACACAAACACCTGTATAGTTTTGTAGGTTCGGTTTACTGGATAAGAGTATGTACACAGAGGTGGATAGCACTGCTCCCTAGCTAAGGTCCTGGTCAACTACCATAGACGACGTATGGCAAGTGATACATTAGCAGCTTCCATACGTCGCCAGGCACATTAATTAAGCGTGTGGGATATGGTAATAACATTGCCACACGCTGCTAGCTAGGCTGAATAAATATAAATGGAGCACATACATAATATACATACATAATACATAATCCAGCATACATAATATACATACACCTCCCTCCCCCCTATACGCTCATAGCAAAGTCTTGAGCGGACCTTTTCTTCTGGATCCGTTCTGAGCGTCGAGGGACTTCATCACTGGGAAGGGTATGGGACTCAACACTGGTGGCGGGGCCAGCAGAAGGCATTGTTACGGGGCGGAGAAAACGGCGGTTCCTCCACCACACACGACCACTGGGTAACCGCACCTGGTAGTCCCGTGACCTGCCGAGACCCATGACTACGCCTACTTTGTCCCAACGTAGGGAGGTCGGGTCCTGAACACGGACTTGGGTGCCGACACTCAACCTGGGGAGAGAACGGGCGTGGTCGTTGTAGCGGGCGACGACGTCCTGAACACGTTCGGCGGCTCGGCGATCACAATCCTCTGTCTTGGCCTGCCACTCCTTGGAGAAGGATTGAGGGTGAGCAGGGACACAAGAACGAAGGGGGCGTCCATACAAAACCTGGGCAGGGGAGCGTCCGGTGTAGTTAGGTGTGTTGCGGAGTTCAAGAAGACCCCGGTCGAAGGCCTCGCAGTCAATGTTCCCAGAAGGGGCCACCTTAAGGATGAGGTGCTTCAAGGATTTGACAGCAGCCTCAGCGTGGCCGTTGGACTGCGGGTAATGGGGCGATGACAACACATGCCGGACTCCCCATCGGTCAAGGAACACAGCAAAGTCCCGGCTTGTGAACTGAGGCCCTCCGTCGGTTCGCAGGCGTACAGGAACGCCCACGTCACGGAAGTAGTGGCGGAACTTGCTGATGGTGGCGGCAGACGTCGTGTCATTACCGCCCTTGATGACAACCGGCCAACCAGAGAGACGGTCGACGATAACCAGGAAGGACTTTCCTGACACACAGAAAAAGTCGGCCGACACAGACTCAAAGGGGCGGGTGGGGTTGTCGTCACTCATGAAGGGTACCTGCTGCTGGCTGGGTTGTAATACGTGGCGGGGCTTACACACCTGGACAGCATTGGAGATGTCGGGGTCGATGCCAGGCCGGAACACAGTCTGTCGTGCACGTCGTTTGGTGGCCTCAGCTCCACGGTGACTGTCGTGAAGGCGAGCCAAGGCGTGGGGACGTGATGCAGCAGGGACAACTACCGAAGGAGAGGTGTCACTGGCCAGAGGTAGGGGTAGGGCGGCAGCAGGGTAGTTGCTGCTCCCTTCGTGCACCCTGTTGGCGTAATTTACCTCGAGAATCGGTGTTGGGAAGTCCTGGGAGATGATGGCCAACTCTTGACAATGTCTGTAGGACAGCAAGGGAGTCGGGACACCATTATGCACGTCAATCCAGGCCTGACACGACCTGTTGCCAAAGGTGACATGTGCATAGAGTGAACCCAGGGCTGGGGCCATCTGTGAACCATCTGCCATGACGCAGAGGTCCTCGGGAGGCGGTCCTAGATCGCTTGGAGAGAGCCCCAAGCATCGCAAATGCTGGGGACCGATGACTGTAGCATCAGCGCCGGTGTCGGGCAACATCTGAAGACGGGATGACACACCGCCGTAGGTCACGATGACGCTGATGTACTGGGGGACTTTGGTCCTGGGATGCGAGGAGTACACCCTCCTAAAATGGGTCGGGCTTTGTCCAGGGTCGTCGTGCCTCTGATTTGGCGACTGTGGGCGGCCCTCACTGGTAGAAGGGCGCCGAAGCTTCCGCCGACGCTGTCCCTTGGGTTCGTGGGTAGGGCAACACTTGTCATAGTGGCCCAGACGACCGCACACATTGCACTGTACGTACTTAGCTGGGCACCGCACTGTGAGCGACCAGTGGCCCATACGGTCACAACTGTTGCAGGTAGACTGAGCAGCTGGACACACCTGTGTTCCGTGCTGCTTACCACAGTTGTTACAAAATGAACCGGGCGTGGACGTGGTGGGCGAAGGCGTAGGAGCGGACTTCTTGTCCTTCTTGTACCGGGAAACAGCGCGTACAGCTGTAGGGGGAGCTCGGATGGCAGAGGTGGCACACCTGGCAGCCTCATAGGAGCGACATATCGTCAACACATCCTGAAGAGAAGAGGAAGAGTCGAGGGAGGTGAGGCGTCGGACAAGTTCCTCGTCCTTAACACCCATCAAGATCACCTGCTTCAACTGGGTCTCCTCACACTGCTGGTGGTGGCCTAAACATATATCTACCTCTTCCGAGGCTCTCTTAAGACGTACATAAAAAGCGTCAAAAGACTCACCCTCCATCTGTCTGCAGCTAAACAATTCCCTCCTGCGCAGAGCTTCATTCTGCTGTCCTTTGATGTGCCGTTGTAGAACGTCCAGTACCTCCTCTACAGACAGCGAAGAGGTTGGGGGTACCTGCAACGTATGTTCTAAGACACGCTGAACTTCCAAGGACAGGCACATACGCAGCTGGATGAGTTGTTTAGGCTGTGACAAACTCTGGAGATCCACCATTGTAGCATAATCAGCCCACCGCCGCCGCCATTCGCGAAAAGTCTGGAAATTTACATCAGGCTCCAAGATGGGCGGTGTTTGAGCTGCTGCTTTAGGTGGGGCTGGGGGGCGTGAAGGAAGCATGGATGAGGTATCTGAACCATTCAGTACCGAGGCAGTGTTAGAGCCAGGGGCTTGGTTAACAGTGAGGCGAGATATCAAGGCTTCAAACCGTGCACTGTCTTCCATTCTCCGTTGGTGGTCTCGTTCTGCCTCTGCTTGCCTTCTGTGCTCATCCGCCAAACGTCTGTGAGCTTCATCCTCGCGTCTCTCATCTCTCATAAACTTCATTAAGGCAATTATCTCTGGAGATAACGCTGAATGTTGAGGTGAAGGGCTGCGCGATGTTGTGGGAGCTGGGCCGGCCTGGTCATCCATCTCTGGGGGACTATCATCCGCTTGACTCATCCAGGCGCTGGGTCCACGGCTACGTAAGGCATGAGACATAACTACTTTATCTGTGTACTGTGTCTTAAATCAGTGTTGACCGGTCAGCCCGTCGTATCAACAAGATTTCAGACAAAAAAATTTAATTAAATACACAGATAAGTAGGTTATATATATAAAATATATATAATGAAGCCGCGCGGTCAGCAAGTGTTAGTACATGTATGTGTGTGTGTCCCAGGCAGGCAGAGCGTCTCGCCCCAGCTGTGAGGGGGGGTGGAGGCGGCGCTGTGAGGGAGGGGGGTGGAGATAGGAGTAGCTCAGTCGCTCTCTGTAAACGGTCAGAGGAGGGTGCGCTGAGCTCTACACCCCACAAATGCCCAGAACATGCCGTATACCTTGGAAATCCGTTCGAACAAGGTCACACATGAATGGCACGAAACACACAATGCACTAAACACTTCACAGAAAATCACTGTCACTGACACTGCTCAAAGTTGCGAAATTCTTCGAGGGATGACGCGGGGTTGACCCAAGGCGGGGATCCATCAGCCGGCTTTCCACAAACTTGCACTAATCACTCGTAATAATCCAGTAAAACTACGCACTGCGCCATGTTAGGTGTTCTGGGTAATAAGTTCTATATACAGGAGAGAACACAAACACCTGTATAGTTTTGTAGGTTCGGTTTACTGGATAAGAGTATGTACACAGAGGTGGATAGCACTGCTCCCTAGCTAAGGTCCTGGTCAACTACCATAGACGACGTATGGCAAGTGATACATTAGCAGCTTCCATACGTCGCCAGGCACATTAATTAAGCGTGTGGGATATGGTAATAACATTGCCACACGCTGCTAGCTAGGCTGAATAAATATAAATGGAGCACATACATAATATACATACATAATACATAATCCAGCATACATAATATACATACACATTCCAACATTGCGGTTAATACTCCTCTCCTATGGTGATGTAGAATACCTGAGTAAGACTGAATAGTGCAGAAGCAATAGGATAAACATGAGGTGAAATGTAAATAAACAAAACGTTCGAGTCTGTGGGGGTCGGTTACCACCCGGTTCCTGGTAAGGTAACCAGCTCAGGAACATGAGTACGTAACAATATATCTCCGGCTGACATGTAACCCAGGGGTCAGTAACACTAGTTTGTGACTAGTAGGTCAGTAATCCCGGGGTTAGTAAGACTATTATAGTAGGTCAGTAAACATAGGACATGGGTGACTGTAAGTTTCCACTCCCTCAGCTCCAGTAACGGCTTCGGGGACGAGCTTTGCTGGGCAGCGTTATGGTTGGGTAGAGCCACAGGAGATCCCAGCTATATCTCCAAGGCTCGAGACCACTGGGACGAGTTTAACTTCGTAAAGGATGTAAATAGCAAGTTTTCCTGGGACGACAAGATACCTGGAATCTTTGTAAGTTATTTTTAAAAATGAATTCCAATATTAATGTTGGACTCAAATATTCCTCATAGAATGTAAGCAATTTTCACATCTTGGTGCCGGGTTCAAACCGAGGCCACCATGGTTCCAACTCAGCACCCAGAGATGAAAACATTTTACATTGATTTACCTGTGTATATTAAGGGTTCTGATATATTCTACACAGAGACTAAATAATATAGGAGACAGTGGATTACCCATGGGACATGACACATATTTGATTCTAGCTGAATCCAATTACTCAGACATACTCGTTGGAGTACTAAAAAAGGTAATGGCCTACGCTATTTTTTTTATGCTCATTAATGACAACAAGCGAGCAGCACATCTTACCGTGTCGCTGAAGAATTGCCTTCAAAATATATTTTTGCAAATAAAAGTAAAATGCATGAGGTGACACGGCATAGCAGTCCTGTTTGATATACTTGTGAAATGATAGTATAGTCTTTCACTAAGATCATTTAGGACTGGAAATTAATAGTTTATCCACTAAGTTGAACGGCCATACTTTTCTTCCCTGATACAGTCACTCTTCTGGATGTTGGACAACTCCAGTGAGTATCCTGACGCCCTCAGAAACTACCTGGACGGGCTAAAGACCAGTGCATCATACACCCCGGAGGGTCTTGTTTTCTTGGGTGACCAGGGCTCCAACCGCTATGCTGCCAACGCCGCCTTCATCTCCCTCTTTGTTAGTTCCTTCCATAATAGTTTTAAAATATTGGAATACCTTAGACAAGACACAAGCGATGAAATTGTTCATATCCATCTACACATTTGAGGGTTAATATGAGAAGAAAAGAAACATCTTGAAATAATTCAGAGTCGATCTGTATAAAGATGATACATTTCACTTGTTTTGATTTTATTACTCAAAAAGTCGTGTGAGGCAAGTCAGACCAAAAAAATCTTCATATAAATATTACTAGTGATACAGTATACAGAAATACCAAAAATTATCGTAGTTGCATATGATAATATATCTTGAATCTTTCAGGCCGCCAAGAATGGTATGGACACTGAAGCTAACCAGAAGTGGGCGAGGGAACAGATCGGTCAACTGTTGGGAGACAACTCCCGTTACAGCAGGTCCTTCGTGGTGGGCTACGGCCAGAACCCCCCTAAGAGAGTCCATCACCGTGCCAGGTACACACACACACACACACACGCGCGCGCGCACTCTACTACTACTATGCTGTCACTCGGAATCGAATATGACGATCAACCAGCTATGAGAAAATGATATGAGTTATTAGGGATGCCACCTTTATTGGTGAGCTCTGAGGTGGCTAGAGATATTGATACGGGACCGGCAGGGTCGTCCACAGATGTTGTACTTGTGAAGAGCTACATCTAGTGTGGGACGGACGGCGGCAGCGTCTTTCCGTAGTTGGCCCTTGTCTGCCTCGGTATGCACTCGGGCAAACTCGAAAGTATTGACACCTTCTCGTGTGGTGCTCCTCCAAGTGTTACGGTGTGGAGTAATGGTCTCTCAGGTGAGGGGGTTGATTTGTCATTTTTTCAGATTTATCTTAAGACTATCCTTAAACTTTTTTAGTTGCCCGCCAGCGTTACGTTTACTATTCGCTAGTTAACTGTAAAGTAGCTGCTTTGACAGTCTACTGTCGCCTACGCGGGTAACATGGCCAGTCCAACGTAGCTGTTCATGGATAATGGTAGCCTTGATGCTCCTACAGTTGGTGTCAGCGAGAATACTGGCATTTGTTCTCTTGTCTTCCCAGCGAACTCGGAGTATGGGACGTACACTACGTTGGTGAAAGTTTACATGTGCCTTTAGGTGCCTCCTGTATGTGACCCATGTCTCGCTGCCATATAGCAGGGTGGGGAGGAACACTGCTCGATATACGTGCAACTTTGTAGATAATTTCAGCTCCCTGCAGCTGAAGACACAGGCTGCCAAAAGCTTGAGATACGCATCTAAGCCAATGTTGAATCGCGGTTGTGGACAGATGGAAGACGAGATACTGAAAGTGGGTAACATTGAAGAGGGTAATACTGTTAAGCTGGGTGGATGTCTGGAGGTGTTTCTGAACCAGGTCCAGACTGAAAGAGAATCTGAGTCTTACATACATTCACCTCAAGGACGAAGTGTGTATACCCATCTGCGTAGGTGTTCAGGATCTCTTGTAGGTCGCGTTCAGTGTGATCGTCTGCGTACTGAAGTTCAGTAATGAAAGTTGCCGACACCTTTGTTCCAGCCTGGAGTTGTCTTGTGTTGAAGAGACCCTTTATCCGGCACTCGATGTACACCCCGCCGGCTAAATTGGCACTGGCATGAGTAAGGAACGAAGCCAAGAAAATGGAAAAGAGAGTTAGTGCCAGTACACATCCTTGATTTAACCCCGTTTGGATGGGAAAGAACTCAGACTGGGTGCCATTGTGCAGGACACTGCCGTTCATGCCATCTTGGAGTTGCCTTACAGTGGCGATGAATTTACACACACACACACACACACACACACACACACACACACACACACACACACACACACACACACACACACACTCCATCATAACTAACTTCTTATGCAATATGTAAATCGTTTCTGCTAAGATTTTTAGAACATGATAGATAATGTATCTTCAAGAGCTTTAGTGTATTTAGTGACATGAACTTAAGAGTAAAAATACAGGGTATTCTAAACACCTATCATGAAAGCTGCGAGTCGCACGGAGGATCCTCATGTATTCCTTCTTCCCCAGTTCTTGCCCTAACCCTCCAGCGGACTGTTCAGGAGCTCTTGACAACCTTGGCCCCAATCCCCACGTTCTTTTCGGAGCCCTCGCCGCTGGACCAGCTGAGGTTAGTACCAGCAGGTCATATAATTGTGATCAAACTAAGTTGACAAATAAGATATGTATTCGAACATCTCAGGAAGAGATATTTTTGTGAATACCTTTAATTTCTTTTAACTTCCTACTAATTAATGTAACATGGTCGCCCCTCTCTGTACATATTATTTTTCTTATAAATTAAGTTTTGTTTCTTCCTACCTAGAACGGTGACTACACAGACGACCGCAAGGATATAACTCACAATGGTGTGTCCTGCACCTACAATGCTGCCTTCACCGGGGCTCTCGCCGCTCTTGTCGAGATTAGTTAAATATCCCGACGTGTCCCTGAACATCATCGTGAGAACTGCTTCACCCCGTTTAAATTTTTAGTCAGTCTTCCCCTCTCTGAGTTTTTCCAAATCAGGCTGACACATTGGCTACATTCTTGATTGCTCAGTAATGAATGTAGCAGAAAGGCTATGTTTTTCTCTTATGTTTCACCTTTGTGTCCTCCACATCCCACTTTACTCCAACATTTTTGGGTCTGTCTTTGAAAGTCTATATGATCACTGTAAAACATATTTGACCACGAACTAGGATTGCATTTATTGTTGGATTACAGATAAGTAGGTAGTTGTTAATTTGTGAACTGATAGTAATGTGAATGACGCTGATTGTCTGGTTTATTTGTAACAACTCTTGGTTATATCTTCACGTAATTATTGATTCACTAACAATATTTAAATTCATGGCGTCAAATGGTAATCTTCTTAAGACAACGACAGCGCAATTTCTGTAAATCATCCGAAGACGATGATAGCAGCTGTAATTGGTAAATATATCTATACTGGCAGATGTCGAAATTGTAATAAACGAATATTTTACTTACACTGTTTCACTCTAACACAATTGTGTTCTGACCTCGCTAGAGGAAAGGTCTGGGCAGACTTACCTCCCGGGGATATATTGGTCGGTAATGACTAGTGCTACCTGTGAACAGGGCTGTGACCTTCTGAGGGCCGAGTTAGAGAAGGTCAAAGAAGAAAACTTGAAATTAAAGGAAGTGATAGCGAGGATGAAGGAAGAAGACACTAGACAACGAAAGCCCGTGTCTTACGAAAACTAAGGTGAATGGAAAGTTGTGAGGAGAAGAACAACCAAAATGGAAGTGAGAAAAGACAAAAATGGAAACACAACAGCTAGGTGTAAAAACTCTTTTAGTTCTTTGATAGACAAATTGGACGTTAGCATAGTCAGGCACAGAGCTGAGAGGAAAGGTACAAAAACCTTAATTATTGGCGATTCCCAGGTACGGTACCTGGATAGAACTTTTTGTGGTAGAAACACCAGGAGCTGGGGTGGGGATATAGTTGACAGGATGGACAATATCTTGTCTAGTAATGGGAACAAACCCATTGTCTGCCTTAGTGCAGGAGGCAAGGACATTGGCCGGTGTAGGAGTGAGGAGCTTCTTGATAAATTCAAGACAGCTATAGAACGTATTAGGTTGAAGAAATCCCTATCATATGTGGTGTCCTGCCTAGAAGAAGAGTTGACAATGAATGGTTGTCAAGGGCAGTTGGGGTCAACGGCCGTCTTGACAGATATTGCAAGTCAACATCAATCCCATTCATTGACAACTGGGACAACTTTTACCGCAGAAGGGACCTTTATGCTAGATTTGGAGGGCATCTGTATGGGGATGGGGTGGCAACCCTGACTAGCTCTCTCGAGAGGGAAGTTAAAAAAAATGTTGAAGTCTTTAAACTGCTAGGGGAAAATATGGGCACGGAGGTGGAGGAGACTGCAGTGGGAGCGGGTAAACAGAGTGGAAGGTTACAGGGAAATCGTTCTAGGAATGATGACAAAACTAAATTAGGCAGGGAGTTAAAACCTAAACGCTTCAAAGAGAGGACTCAGAACACAACTAACTTAACTGTCTCCTATGCAAACAGTAGGAGTATGAGAAAGCAAATGCATGAAATCAGGGCATTGGTATGCACCGAAAAAATCGATATAATAGCATTCACCGAAACATAGATAAACTTAGACTCACGAAAGTTGCCTGTCAAATACCAAATTGCAGGTTACAAATTATTCCAAACAGATAGGCAGATTAGGAAAGGAGGCGGAGTAGCAATCTATGTCGGGGATAATCTGAAGTGTGAAATAAATAAAGAAATAAAAACTGAACTGAATACAGAAACAATTTGGATAAAATTACTCGATGGGAGAGAAAAATTAATGGTAGGAGTAATATATAGTCCCTCTAATGTTGATAGAGTTAATGAACGACTTATTTGGGATTAAATGCACAGGGCTTCCAGACATAGCAATGATTTCAATTAGAATTAAATCGCAGTCGCAAGGAAAATGCCATTTAAGTCCCAGATTTCAGAAGGGCAAACTTTGATAGGTTGAAAAGGCAACTGAGAAAAGAGGAATCACGTATGGGGATAGATTACATGACGTTATGTGAGGTGACCTCACACAATGTACCAACAGAGGGCGAGCTCACTTTACCTAGAGACCTGACAACGATATCCTAACAAAATAAGACGGTTGAGGATGACCTGATCACGAGATATGAGGTTGACGAGTTCCACAAGAATTTAAATAATGAGTTACCTAATGCACAAAGGCAGAACATACCATACAGAAAACTAAGATCAGACAACATTGACCCTAAATAGATAAACAATTATTTAAAGAATATTATTGGACAAAGGAAGGCTATAGGTAGAAGAACGATTCGTGGTGAAGTTTACCGCCGAGATTATTATAAGGTATTGGCCAGTAGGGTTATGACCGAGATAAGAAAAGCAAAGAGGAATAATGAACTGAAGGAAGCAAGGGAGGCGAAGTGAAACCCTAAGGGATTCTTTCAAAAGCACCAAACTAAAACACGAGAAATGATTGGACCAATACAGTCAGATACCAGCGAGCTAACTGATAACGCCGGAGAAATGAGCAATAATCTGAATAAATACTTTTAAAAAGTTTTCACCACCGAAAATTTAAACATGATACCCGAAGCACTGACTATATACAGAGATAGTGAAGAAAATAGTTTAAGCGAGATATTAGTGTCTGGTAACGACGTTAGTAAGGAAATAGACAAGTTAAAGCCTAATAAGTCACCAGGTCCCGATGAGATATTTGCCAAAGTATTAAAGGAATGTAAGGAAGAGCTTAGTATGCCCATAGCAAAATTGTTTAACATGTCCTTAAAAACGGGTGTAGCACCAGAATCCTGGAGGATAGCGAATGTAATGCCGATTTTCAAAAAGAGAAATATAGATCACTTACCCTCTAACTACCGTCCAATCAGCTTAGCACCAATTGCAGGCACATTACTGGAAGAAATAATTTCAAACACTATTCAAAATCACCTGGAGAAGCACAAGTTGATCAATGATTCCCAACATGGCTTCACAAGTGGGAGTTCATGACTAACTAATCTATTAACATTCTTTTCAGCTGTTTTCGAATGAGTGGACGAGGGGCACGACTATGATATGGCATATCTTGACTTTAGCAAAGCCTTCGACAGAGTCCCCCACGAAAGACTAATATGAAAAGTGGAGGCTCATGGCATTAAAGGTGATATTCTAAAATGGATTAGTACGTGGTTACAGGACAGAAAACAGCAAGTGACCATTAACGGCACTAAATCATATTGGAGCAACGTCACTAGTGGAGTTCCGCAAGGCTCAGTACTTCGACCATTATTATTTATTATATACATAAACGACATAGATATCGGCGTAGACAGCAACATAAGTAAATTTGCTGATGACACTAAAATAAGACGTGTAATTAAATCTGACGAGGACTCGGCAAAACTACAGGAATATCTAAACAAATTTTTCGAATGGTCTGAAAAATGGCAGATGAAATTCAATGTGGACAAATGAAAAGTACTCAGTATAGGAGATGTAAACAGGGAAACCAGATACCAGATGAACAACGATGTTCTTGAGAAATCCGACTGCGAGAGAGATTTAGGAGTAATGATAAGTAAGAATACAAAAAATATATAATAATGCGCGTGGCTGAAGAACAAGGAAAAGCAGTACTGTACATGGCACTCCATGCTAGCCCAAAAACTGCTACCAGCTAAGTTGACAACACCGTACAGGCGTACACCTGACTTATCAGCTGACGAAAACTGAATGAGATCTCTACGGTTTCCACCCCCCCTCTCTCACAGTCTCTCTCTCTCTCTCGTCATTACAGTTTCATGTTTGTTTTTTTGAGGATAAAATGATGGAAGCTGAAATTCCGGACTTTTGAAGAATTTTGTAAATTACTTCCGGGTGAAGATTTCGAGACCTAAATGGAGGACATGTCCGGGGAAATACGGACGTATGGCAACCCTAGTCTATATATTACTCCTGTAATAAATTTTTCCCTACCATCAATTAATTCTATCCAAATTGTTTCTGTATTCTCCTCAGTTTTTATTTCTTGTTTATTACACACTTCAGATTACTCCTGACATAGATTGCTACTCTGCCTACTTTCCTAATCTGCCTATGGGTATGGAATAATTTGTAACCTGCAATTTGATATTCGACAGGTAACTCACGTGAGTCTAGGTTCATCCATGTTTCGGTGAATGCTATTTTGTTGATTTTTTCTGTACATACCAACACCCTGATTTCAACCATTTTGTTTCTCATACTTCTACTGTTTGCTGTTACAACCTTCACACCCTCTTCTAGGACTCACTAGAGGATGTATATTCAGCCCATAGGCCCATTATAATAATAATAATAATAATAATAATAATAATAATAATAATAATAATAATAATTAATAATAATAATAATAATAATTATTATTATTAACGGTTTATTGAAAGAGCATGGCAGCCAGAAGGCTGAAAATATTAAGTTACATAATTGAGGAATGGGTCTCTTGATTTACAAAAAATATACAAGTAACATAAGTGATACAAATATGATATATAATAAATAAGTGGGGAGAAGCTCAAACTACAGGGCATTTCAACATAGTTGACAGTGCAAAAAGTAGGATTGACTGAAATAATAGCTTCTGTTTACAGAGAGATTAAATGTTAAACACAGACCCTTACCTTATTTCTGGCTAACAACCTCCTGACAGCTGACAGGTGTTTATTTCAATACCACTGTTCCCATTAAAACTGGTTTTATCAAAACACAGCTTTAAAATTACAACAAAATATATTTAACAACAAAATATAATAAATGTGTGCTCTCCGCCCATGTGCATACAACAGGCCACAAATCAATTCACTCAGAATAATGTTATCTCCACCAAATACAATGCTCTCTCACTACTATAATATTCTTTAGACTATAGTGAACATATTACACTTTAGTTAATACCATAATTATCCATGAATGCCCAGATAATAATAGAAAAATATGCACCACACAAACTTGGCCCTCCTATCCTCCACAACCTAGCTACCGAGAGTGTGTCAAAATCACAACAATCAGGGCCGGATTAAGGCCAATTGATGCCCTAAGCACAGCCCAACAATGGTGCCCCCTCGGCCCTCCCATTGCTTAACTGACAAGATATTAAGACCATGATTAAGACTCAATGAATACTGATGTTGAAATATAAGATAAAAAATTCAGGTTTCTTCCAGGCCACCCCACGAGAGATCCTACAATTTTCTCATCACTGATGCTAGACTAGAACCAGAACAAATACAGTTAAAGACAATTAAATAAAACAAAGAGTTGAAGTTTTTCAACATTTGATAATTATAAAAATCACTTAAATTGGACAGTTTTGATTTAACCTTATTTATTATAACAACTAGGCCTAGAGTTACTGCTCTTAATTTAGTAACACAATATATTTATATAGTTAAAATATCTACCTCTT